CACCCTCAGTCACGCTCAGGGTAGGGCTGATATGGGGGGTTGGGGCACCGCCCCCTGTCACATTCAAGGCAGGGTCGATAGGGAGGTTGTGGCGCCACCCCCTGTCACACACAGAGCAGGGCCCATCAGGGGGGTTGGGGCTCCATACCCTGTCATGCACAGAGCAGGGCCAATCAGGGGGTTGGGGAGCTCCTCCCTGTCACTCACAGAGTAGGGCCGATGAGGGGGTTGGGGCGCCGCCACTGTCACACTCAGGGCAGGGCCGATGGGGAGGTTATGGCTCTACCTTGTCACACACAGAGCAGGACCTGTGGGGGAGGGGGGTTGGGGTGCCGCACCCTGTCACACACAGAGCCGCAAGGCGATCAGGGGGTTTGGGCGCTGCCCCCGTCACGCTGATCCGGTGCCAGGAGGCCTCGTGGCTCCGCTGATCCCGGTGCTGGGAGGCATATTACCCTTTTACTATATAGGATAGAGGCCTGGGGGCCAGCTGGTTTGCCCTGAAGAGTGTCCTGGATCAGGGTGGGGGTCCCCCACTGGGGTGCCTGGCCAGCCTGGATGAGGTGATGATGGCTGTTTGCAGCTGGTCACACACCCTTCAGGGTGGGGGTCCCCACTGGGGTGCCTGGCCAGTCTGGGTGAGGAGCTGAGGGCTGCTTTCAGGTTGGCAGTTGACTGAAGCTCCCAACCGCTCCTTTTCTTCTTTTTTTTCTTTTTTATTCTGGGCCAGCTTTAGCTCTGGCTCTAGCTCTGAGGCTTCCGCTGCTGAAAGAAGCTATCTGGTTTGTTTGCGTTCTATAAGCAAAACAATGTATAACTCCAGCTCTGAGATCCCGGCTGGCTGAAAGCTGGTTTCTGGGGTTTTGTTTAGCTTCTTATTTGCAACATAGTACATAGTTTCTTAGAGTTGCAGCTCAGAGGCCGGCAAGTCAGGCGGGGAATGTTGGAGTCTGCAGTCACTGGAGCAAGCGAGCCTCATGTTCGCTTCCAGCTGCCTGGCTGCCGGCCGCCATCTTGGCTGACAGTTAATTTGCATAAGGATATGCTGATTAGCCAATGGGAAGGGTAGCGGTCGTACGCTAATTACCATGTTTCTCTTTTATTAGTGTAGATAAAGACCATTATAAACTGATGAACAAAAATAGATAGAGACAGAGCAGCCTCGAACAGACTGTCAAACTACAGCGGAAAGGCTGGGGAGGGTTGGGGGGCGAGGGGGGGGGTAAGAGATCAAACGAAGGACTTGTATGCATGCATATAAGCATAACCAATGGACATAAGACACTGGGGGGTAGGGGAGACCAGGTGAATGTCATGGGGGGGAAAAAGGAGACATATGTAATACTCTTTGTAATACTTTAAGCAATAAAATAAAATTTAAAAAAGTAAAAAATAATAAAAAAAGAAATTATCTAAAAAGTGCTGTTAGAACTTGCATAATTGGTTCCAATTATTGAGGGAGGAGGGAAGCTGCCTGTGGAGGGAATGCAGGGCTTCACTCTATCCAGGGGACGAACAATCAGCAAGGACACAGCCTGAGAGGCCCAAGCACAGGGGGACGAAGGCCTCCGGTCCCACGTGGGGACTGTCTCAATGTCCTCTAGAAGCAAAGCCACCAGAGACACTCACGCGAAGGCCAGCTGGGCACGATGCCCCTGCAGTACCTTTCTGACTTGAGCTGCCTGGAGACCTCCTGCCTCTGCTCCCAGCACACCTGGGGCAGGTGGAGGCACACTCTCCTGCCCCCTGCTGGCCTGAAAACGCCAAGGAAGAAGGCCTGGCACAGCTTACCCACACTGCATTCACGCACTCCCTTCCTCCCTAATCTTAGGAGACTGTCAGCATAGAGGCGCCCCACCCTCCTCAGAAAGGAGAGAAGGTGGATCATGGCAGCAAATCCCTGTCTGGTTCCCTCTGTGACAACTAGGACTGGTCGGATTTAAAGCCAATCTCAGATAACACAGGGCTAACTGGATTCAAATTATAAGATCCCTGATGTTAAAACAAAACAAAATAATAAAAACTAGTGATGAGTGCTCTACTGCAGGCTGTGAAGCAGGCGAGAAGAGCAGAGCCTAGAGTCCCTACCAGAGGGAGGGGCATCCTTAGACATGCTCCACTGCCTGAGAATAGCTAAAAATTGAAGAGTTCAACGTCCCAGACCAGAGACCCACTCCTCCTACCCGCTGGTTTTGGGGCTGCCCGTGGGACCACAGCAGGGACACCCAGGCTTCCAACGTGTCCCTCACTGTTGTCTCGGTTCAGTTCACTCAAGAACAGCTTATTGAGTATCACCTACCTGTTAGGCACTGGGTAGGTTCTTTGTAGACATTATTTAATTTGATCCAATAACAACCCAATAAAGCGAGAAAAAGGAAGCGGGGTGGATGAAGTTGTCTGGCAGAGGTTGCCCAGCGGTAACCTCAGACTCCAGCCCAGACCTGTGCAGCCACAAGTCTTCCTGAGGACGGGCTCCATTCTCCAAGAAGACAGCAAATCCCCACATTTTTGTTACCAGGAAACCCCTGGTTAGGCTCGGGCTGCCTGTCGCTGTGTCCAATAACGAAGGCAGGGTCAAATCATAGAAGACATTTATTGAGGCCAGCTAACCAAGAAGAGAGGGTGCTTACAAGCATTCAATGGGGACAGGATTATACAGGGGAAGGGGCTGGGGTGAGGCTGGGGATGCAATGCAGCTATGTGCAGCTCTGGAGGTCCCCAGACGTAAGCTATTGTCATCAGGTAACGAAATGATGTTGATGAGATGATGTTCTGACTCCTGGTGGGTGGGTCTGACCATGCTTATAGGTTCTGCTTGCTGAGTTCACAGCTGAGTCACCTCCTCCATCGCTTCGCACAGGCCTTGGAAAGGAAACTTAGGAACAACTTAACCCCCTATTCGCATAAGTACTAGTATATGTGTTCTAAGATTTAAAATGATGTGATTATTTTCCAGATTAATGCAGGTGCTCTATCTATCAGACCATAAGTCCCCCTATCATTTGTGCCAGCCCTGCTTTCCGATGGGTTGATCAAGGTTGCAATATTTTGAGAAATGTTCCCATGCTTGGCTGAATTAATTTAGAAACTATATACCCTCCTTACTGAGTGACATTCAAGCTCTTCACGGCTTCTGCCTGGGCTCAGCATGAGACAACAGAACCATAGTAATCCCGGCAGAAGGGCTGGCATTTCTGGAAACACTGGAAACAGCTCTAAGTTCCCCATAACTCACTCTTACCTCCCAGAGCTCTTTATGGGAATTATTCAATACAACCAATGCAGTGTTTAAAAGGAAGGTTCTAGAGGCTATAAAAAGAAGCCAGTGTTGACCCCCTCTGCCCCAGCCCCATTTCTCCCCACCTATTCTACATCAATGCAGTGGGGGAGGCAGAGCAGAGAGAGAGGCCTGCCTTTACTCAGAAGTCTCAAAGCAAATCAAGGAAAGTGTCTGCCATCACCAACAAGCTTCCTTCTGTGTGTCAATGCTGCCCCCTTCTGGTGTAAATTATAAATTCATTAGAAAATAGCACTAATCACAGTCATTCAATAGATGAAGCACAAAGATGTGATCCTATGAGTTTATATGTATATATATCCCCAAAATACTCCTGGAATCTATTTAAAGCAGAATTAAATATATCTACTTTTCAAGCTCCTACTTTTTAAAATATACCACTGAGTGCCCGAGCAATTAGAGAAACTCCTTCAATGTTCTCCCTATGTCCATGTATGATCCCCACCTTCCAGCCCATCCCCATATGTAACAGCATGGACAAACCGAAGGCCTTGTGCTAACTCAAATAAGTCAAACAGACAAAGACAAAGACTTATCACTTATTTGTGGAATAGATACAGACTCAGATACAGAGAAGAGCCTGGGGGTGTTTGCAGCAAAGGACGGACCAGGACTGACTAGCCTCACTGGACGGACTCCATGACCTGCCCCCAGGAGGGCTCAGGCCTCAGCCAGCTGGCTCAGCACGAAGAGGGCCCCATAGAGGGCAGTCAGGGGCTCCTTGGCTTCCGGGTCCCAGGTTGACCTGGTGGTGTTTACCTCCATCTTCAGGCCACACTCGTCCAGCAGCCCATAGGTAATGGCCAAGCCCTCCCCCTGGAGTGGGGCCAGGAGCTCAGGCTGGAGGGTAAAGGGAGTGTTCTCAGAGCAGTTGAAGTTGGGCTCCAGGATGCTCCTCACCTTGAAGAAACAGTATCAGATGTTACAGGCCAGCCTCTGAGGTCAGGAAGAGAGAACCTTCGGTCCCAAGGGCCAGGGGTCATGCAGGGTGACTGTGGGGGCAGGAGCTCTGGGGTCGCGACCTGTTCCTATATTGTGGTCAGTGTGACCACGGACACGTTGTTGGAAATCACTGAGCACTGGCTCCTCAGCTGATAAATAGGGACACTGACACTTACTCAGCAGAATAGTGGGGTTTGGAATTGTGTGTGTATGCCTGCGTGTGCAATGTGTGTATGTACGTGTCTACACACACATATGCACTTACATATATATGCATACAGAGAGAGTGTGTCCGATTTGCAAATGGTAACTGTTTGAGTACATCAGGGGTATAACTCAGATGGCCTGAGCTCCCCAAACCTGTATTCACAGATTGCTATTTTAGAACTGGGGGGAGGGGCCCTCTGCAGGGGTTGCCATGGAAACAGAGATCTTCCCCAGGTAGACTCATGCCCACTGGGCCTGTTTCCCAGACAGAGATGCAGCCTGGATTTCCCAGGCCCACACCGGGACCTCCCCTCCCCTCCCAGCAGCAACCCGAGTCATCTCTCCTTTCTCAGAACCATTCTTATCCTGCTTCCCTCACTCTTTTCCAGGACGCCGGCCCCTGGGGATTGCTCACCAGGTCCCTCTGCGGAAGGAGGATCCTCTTCTCCATGGACTGAGCCAGCAGAACATGTTGGATGTCACTCAGCACTGGGGACAGGGGGACATTTGGGGAAAGAGTCAGATTTTCCTGTCTCCACGGTGAACTCAGAGACCTTTAGAAGCGAACTCTGAGGCAGAGGAATAAAACTCGCTGGCGTGAAGGTCAAGTTCCCTGCCCTGGAAAGTCCCCCTTCTGCTCGTGCTCATGGGATGGTCTCCAGGAAGCCACCTAACATGGTCCAGGGTGGGCTTCTGTGGCTGGACCTGGCATCACCGCCCACTGATCCGCTGTATGAACCTGGCTGGCCTTGCAGACCTCAGGCTCTGTCACAGGGCAAGCTCATCACACTGAGCCCTGCTGACCTCGGAGAGGCCTGTGATGTGAGGGTGAAAAATCATAACATGTCAAAGGGTTTGGAGAGGTGACACCTAATGCAGCCCTTTCGGGGCTCTGAGGGGCCCACCCCCATTCTCTTCCTAAACCACTCTTACCCATTAAGGCTTCAAGCAGGTAAAGGATGAGGCACTTTGAGCCAACTTCTGGATAATGGGAGTCCTTTCGCAGTTCAGTTAGGATGGTGCCACCAGGGCCATCCAAATGACCGAAGGGTTCCTGTTCAAGCTATAGGAGACAGGGCTTATTAATGATGGTGATAATAACATCAGTGACTTCGCCTGTAAATTCTGTGCCTACAAGTGATTAACCAAGGAGTGGGGGTAATGGCTCCATGCACCCTCAGGGAACATGGAGCACCCCCAGCCTGTAAGGGCTGCCTTCCCTGGCCCTGGTCATTGGACACAGGACATAGTCCCCAACCTCAGACATCCTTCTCATCCCACTAAGATTACCCCCATTTTCCTTTCCCCACACACCTTGGCAGCCCTACCTCTGAAACATCCCCCATTTACAAGACAGATCAGGCTTAGGGAGCGGCGGGGCCCCTCACCGTGTCCATGAGGTCCTGAAGAGCCTCGCGGTCCCCAAGCATGGCCAGGAGGTTGGAGAACACAACGTTCTGCATGTCCTTCGAGAGCTCGGCTGCTTTGACGTTCTGGGAAACTTCCTCTTGTAGCAGCTTGAAATCTGCCCCTGGGCATTAATGCCAACCAGAAACGGAGACAATTCTCAGATTAGACCATTCCTTTCCCATCAACATGAGCAAAATTCCTCTTCCCTTCAAGCTGCTGACCCAGAGCATCTCTGAAGATGGCATGCTTGAGCTCTGAGATGAATTGCCACAATAGGCCAGAAAGATGGAAAGTCTCTGATGAAATGAGGTGGGGGATACACACAAGGATGAGAGGAGAGGATCCGGGAAAGGGTTACGGAAAGAGGAAGAAACTGGCCAGGTGCTCACTTCTTACACGTTGCAAATAATGTGGGTGCTAGAGTGGTCTCCAGAGATGAAAATGTCAGAGATTCTAGCATTGGACTTCAAAATGAGGGTGTCATGACAATTATATGAATATGTATATAAAGTGCTTAGTAATACATGCACTTGTGCCTGTATCTTCAGGGTCTATAAGGAATTAACCAAGGAGTGGATGTTGGAGGCTGCCTGCTTCTGCCAGGATACCTGAGGTGGCCTCAAGGTGGCCCTAGTGAGAGTGAGAAGTCACTAGAATGGAAGCGCCAGGGAGGCAGGCATTTCTATTTGGTTCACTGCCCTATCCCAGTGCTCAGAAAATGCCTCCTGCCCAATGAGCCCTCAATAAATGTTTGCTGCATGCACCCACAAATGAATGAATGAATGAATGAATGAATGAATGAATGAAAAGTAGCCATGACCAAAGTATAAATTTGGAAGTAAAGCTCAGTTTTCTGAGTAGTTTGGAAACCTCCAATTTGGGTTCTGAGCTCTGCCATTCCTACCCAGCAGCCTCAGGTTCCCTCTTAGTGAACACCCAGCCCAAGGGGTTCCTGCACCCTTCCTAGGAAGAGAATGGCAAGTGGTCATCTCCCTTTCTCACCCCCCAAATTTGCTTGAGAGACACTTCCTAGCTTCCGCCCTCTACTGCTGCCACCCTCTTGCTTAACCTCTTTCTGCTCCATCCCAGTCCATCCCTCCACATTCCTGACCCTTCCTGACCCTTCCCATCCCACAGAAACTATGGCCAGGTCCTGGGGCCATGGTGGCAAAGGCAGGGGCACTCTGCCCTGCTCACCAGATGAGTACAATGAGGACCCTCCCCACCCCAGCAAACACACACTCCTATTGGGTGCCTATGGAGAAATTAACAACACATCCAAGAGTTAGTCTCTGAAGAATCTCGGTTTGTCTATATTCTGTCCCTTCTCCCCAACCCTGTCTTTTCCATTCCCTGTCCTTTGCCCAGGGAACCAGAGTCCAGTGGCTCATGTGAGGATGGCAAAGGCAATCACCTGGGATTTCAATTGTGCAAAAGGGGCCTTGTGAAGGGATCACATCCAACGTTCCTGGCACTAAAGTCACCTGCTCACTTGTGAAGTGCAATTCCTACTGCCATTCCATTGGAAAGACTCAGTCTCCACTCCCCCCCGCCAACACACACACACTGACTCCAGTATTCAAAGAAGACAGGTGACTCTCCCTGTGGCCAGGAACCTGTGTGGGTCACAGCAGTGAGATGAGGAGGTGGTGGAGGAGCCTGGCTGGGGAAGTTTTCCCTGTGAGTCTGTGGGTCTGAGCCCAGTAGGGTGTTTATGGGTCCAAAAAGGGTCAAGATTCCTTGAAAGAATGCCTGTGTGGGAAGAAGCCAGGTCAACAGAGTCAAGGGCATCCCTGCTGGAGCCTCTCACATCCCTGCACCAGCAGCCCCCACACTTCCTCATCTGGGCCAGATGTTCCCAGTTTTCTCAGGGTCCCCTTAGGACCTTTTGCATCAGAATCACCTGGAATGCTTGTGGTAACTCAGAGTCCCTGGCCTCACTCCATACCTTCTGCATCAGGCTCTCTAAAAAGGAAGCTAGAACCTGCCTTTTCAATGGGCACCTGGGTGATGGTTATCCACTCTAGTCTCACATTGGAGATCAGCCTTTTCCATGGAAAGGAAATCTTGTCCTTCCTGCCCTTTGTCTTCCTCTCCCAGAGGGCCCTACCTCACGTGTCTACTCCCTGCCATGCTCCTGGGTGATTTCACATTTCATGTAGAGAAATGTTCACCATTCTGAAACTCTTCAAGATAAAATTTAAGTGTTTGACAAGGGCCAGGAGCCCATGAAGGAAGGAGACAGAGGGAAAGCAGTCCCATTATAGGAGACACCAAAGACCATGGTGATGCAGTATCCAGGGAGAAGAGAGTCCAAGGCGGGAATAATCAAGTGTGGGGGTGTTGATGACGACGTGAGTAAATTCTGATTATCTCCGAAGTCACAGAGCAAGGGCTATGGACAATTATTGAACTGTTCTTCATATTAGCTTACTCTATAAAGTGATAGGAGGACGGAATTAGTTTATGGAAGGGCAATGCTCACTGCTTTGGGCCATTCTTTGTAAAGGTTCCTTCTAGTTACCCTTAGGCCTAAACTGTAGAAACAGGCAAGCCCCATGAGTAGGGCCTGACTTGCAGACACTGCTGTGAGCTTAGCCTTCAAAGTCCATCTCCATTTAGTTCACACTTGTCAACACTTATAAAATATAATTTTGAAGTTTGAGTTTAACTACTGACCCCACAAGATTGGAGAGCTCATACTCATTCCATCTATTGCCACTGACAGGAGGTCACTGACTGCAGGACCCACCCTTCACCAGATGTTGCAGTGAGAATACTATAATGAACAGTGAGTGTGTACATGTGTGTGTGTGTGTGTGTGTGTGTGTGTGTGTGTGTGTGAGAGAGAGAGAGAGAGAGAGAGAGAGAGAGAGAGAGAGAATGTTATGTGTGGTGAGGGAACCCCCAATGTCCAAGTAGACATATGAGGCTGGCCTCTACCTGGAACTCAACATTTGGCCATAAAAGCACAAGGGTCCTGAGCTGCTTGTTGCATGCATCCAAAAATAAATGAATGAACGAATTAATTAATTAAAAGAAAAATAAATGAATGAACAAATTAATTAATTAAAAGAAAGAGAGAGGCCCTAGCTGGTTTGGCTCAGCGGATAGAGCGTCGGCCTGCGGACTCAAGGGTCCCAGGTTCGATTCTGGTCAAGGGCATGTACCTGGGTTGCGGGCACATCCCCAGTAGGGGGCGTGCAAGAGGCAGCTGAATCGATGTTTCTCTCTCATCAATGTTTCTAACTTGCTATCCCTCTCCCTCTCCCTTCCTCTCTGTAAAAAAATCAATAAACTATATTTAAAAAATAAATAAATAAATGAATAAAAATAAAAGAAAGAGAGAGGAAGGAAGGAAGGAAGGGCTAAGGAATGTATAAATTTAGAAGTAAAACTCAGTTTTCTGAGTTGCTTGGAAACCTCCAATTTGAGTTCTGAGATTGGGTCTTCCCTACCCATCAGGCTTCTGGTTCCCTCTTAGTAAACACCTAGTCAAAAGTGTTCCTGTATTCTTTCTAGAAAAAGAATGGCAAGTGGTCATCTTCCTTTCTGATCCCCCAAATTAGCTTTAGAGACATTTCCAAGGGTTCTGCCCTCTACTGCCACCCTCCTCTTGCTTAACCTCTTCCTGCTTCATGCCAGTCCATCCCTCCAACTTTCCAACCTGTCATGACCCTTCCTGACCCTCCTTTGCCCTCCCTAACCTACAGAAACTATAGCCAGGCCCAGGGGCCATGGTGGCAAGACAGGGCTAATCTGCCCTGCTCATCAGATGAGTACAAGGAGGACCCTCCCCAACCCCAGCAAACACGTACTCACCCATTGGAGGGGTGGCAGGGTCCATGCCACCTAGAAGAGAAATCCAATTACCACCCAAAGGTTAGGCTCTGAAGACTTACAGTTTGTCTACATTCTGCCCCTACTCGCCTCTTTTCCATCCACCCTGCCCTTTGTCTAGGGAACCAGAGCCCAGTGGCTCAGATGAAGATGGCAGAGGTAACCACGTGGGGTTTCAGTAGTAAAAAGGGGCCTTGTGGAGGGACCACATCCCACTATATACTATCTGTCCACTTAAGGACTGGGGTGGACATATGCTTACTGTTGGTAAGAGGAACAGAAGTGGTCACTCACAACAGCTCAGTCTCTGCTCCCCCAACTCTCTCTCTCTCTCTCTCTCTCTCTCTCTCTCTCTCTCTCTCTCTCTCTCCCCACCCCAGTACTCAGAAGAGACAGGCTTGCCCTGAGGCCAGGGGCCTGTGTGGGTCATAGCAGTGAGATGAGTAGGTGGTGGAGGAGCCTGGCTGGGGAAGGTTTCCCTGAGGAAACCTTCCTCTGTTGGGGCTGAGCCCCACGAGGGTGTTTATGGGTCAAAGAGGGTCAAGGGCTCAGCAGGGCCTGAGATCCCAGCAGAGAACCTGCCCAACTCACCTACTGAAATGACTTGCTCATCAGCTGCCATGCCTCTCAAGCCTGTGTAGAAAGAAGCCAGGTCAGCTGAGCTGAGGGTATCCCTACTGGAGCCTCTCACCACCCTGAACCTACAGCCTCTCTTCTGGGCCAAGTGTGGCAGCTTTGCTCAGGGTGCCCTGGGGACCCCTTGCATCAAAATCACCTGGGACACTGTGGGAACTCAGAGTCCCTGGCCTCACTCCATAACTTCTGCATCAGGCTCTCTAAAAAGGAAGTTAGAACCTGCCTTTTCAATGGGCACCTGGGTGATGGTTATCCACTCTAGTCTCACATTGGAGATCAGCCTTTTCCATGGAAAGGAAATCTTGTCCTTCCTGCCCTTTGTCTTCCTCTCCCAGAGGGCCCTACCTCACGTGTCTACTCCCTGCCATGCTCCTGGGTGATTTCACATTTCACGTAGAGAAATGTTCAAAGTTCTGAAACTCTTAAAGATCAGATTTAAGTGTGTGACAAGGGCCAGGAGCCCATGAAGGAAGGAGACAAAGGGAAAGCAGTCCCATTATAGGAGACACCAAAGACCATGGTGATGCAGTATCCAGGGAGAAGAGAGTCCAAGGCGGGAATAATCAAGTGTGGGGGTGTTGATGATGATGAGAGTAAATTCTGATTATCTCCGAAGTCACAGAGCAAGGGCTATGGACAATTATTGAACTGTTCTTCATATTAGCTTACTCTATAAAGTGATAGGAGGACGGAATTAGTTTATGGAAGGGCAATGCTCACTGCTTTGGGCCATTCTTTGTAAAGGTTCCTTCTAGTTACCCTTAGGCCTAAACTGTAGAAACAGGCAAGCCCCATGGGTAGGGCCTGACTTGCAGACACTGCTGTGAGCTTAGCCTTCAAAGTCCATCTCCATTTAGTTCACACTTGTCAACACTTATAAAATATAATTTTGAAGTTTGAGTTTAACTACTGACCCCACAAGATTGGAGAGCTCATACTCATTCCATCTATTGCCACTGATAGGAGGTCACTGACTGCAGGACCCACCGTGTACATGTGTGTGTGTGTGTGTGTGTGTGTGTGTGTGTGTGTGAGAGAGAGAGAGAGAGAGAGAGAGAGAGAGAGAGAGAGAGAGAGAAAGAGAGAGAGAGAGAGAGAGAGAGAGAGAGAATGTTATGTGTGGTGAGGGAACCCCCAATGTCCAAGTAGACATATGAGGCTGGCCTCTACCTGGAACTCAACATTTGGCCATAAAAGCACAAGGGTCCTGAGCTGCTTGTTGCATGCATCCAAAAATAAATGAATGAACGAATTAATTAATTAAAAGAAAGAGAGAGGCCCTAGCTGGTTTGGCTCAGGGGATAGAGCGTCGGCCTGCGGACTCAAGGGTCCCAGGTTCGATTCTGGTCAAGGGCATGTACCTGGGTTGCGGGCACATCCCCAGTAGGGGGCGTGCAAGAGGCAGCTGAATCGATGTTTCTCTCTCATAGATGTTTCTAACTTGCTATCCCTCTCCCTCTCCCTTCCTCTCTGTAAAAAAATCAATAAACTATATTTAAAAAAATAAATGAATAAAAATAAAAGAAAGAGAGAGGAAGGAAGGAAGGAAGGAAGGAAGGAAGGGCTAAGGAATGTATAAATTTAGAAGTAAAACTCAGTTTTCTGAGTTGCTTGGAAACCTCCAATTTGAGTTCTGAGATTGGGTCTTCCCTACCCAGCAGGCTTCTGGTTCCCTCTTAGTAAACACCTAGTCAAAAGTGTTCCTGTATTCTTTCTAGAAAAAGAATGGCAAGTGGTCATCTTCCTTTCTGATCCCCCAAATTAGCTTTAGAGACATTTCCAAGGGTTCTGCCCTCTACTGCCACCCTCCTCTTGCTTAACCTCTTCCTGCTTCATGCCAGTCCATCCCTCCAACTTTCCAACCTGTCATGACCCTTCCTGACCCTCCTTTGCCCTCCCTAACCTACAGAAACTATAGCCAGGCCCAGGGGCCATGGTGGCAAGACAGGGCTAATTTGCCTTGCTCATCAGATGAGTACAAGGAGGACCCTCCCCAACCCCAGCAAACACATACTCACTCAATCGAGGGGTGGCAGGGTCCATGCCACCTAGAAGAGAAATCCAATTACCACCCAAAGGTTAGGCTCTGAAGACTTACAGTTTGTCTACATTCTGCCCCTACTCGCCTCTTTTCCATCCACCCTGCCCTTTGTCTAGGGAACCAGAGCCCAGTGGCTCAGATGAAGATGGCAGAGGTAACCACGTGGGGTTTCAGTAGTAAAAAGGGGCCTTGTGGAGGGATCACATCCCACTATATACTATCTGTCCACTTAAGGACTGGGGTTGACATATGCTTACTGTTGGTAAGAGGAACAGAAGTGGTCACTCACAACAGCTCAGTCTCTGCTCCCCCAACTCACTCTCTCTCTCTCTCTCGCTCTCTCTCTCTCTCTCTCTCTCTCTCTCTCTCTCCCCACCCCAGTACTCAGAAGAGACAGGCTTGCCCTGAGGCCAGGGGCCTGTGTGGGTCATAGCAGTGAGATGAGTAGGTGGTGGAGGAGCCTGGCTGGGGAAGGTTTCCCTGAGGAAACCTTCCTCTGTTGGGGCTGAGCCCCACGAGGGTGTTTATGGGTCAAAGAGGGTCAAGGGCTCAGCAGGGCCTGAGATCCCAGCAGAGAACCTGCCCAACTCACCTACTGAAATGACTTGCTCATCAGCTGCCATGCATCTCAAGCCTGTGTGGAAAGAAGCCAGGTCAGCTGAGCTGAGGGTATCCCTACTGGAGCCTCTCACCACCCTGAACCTACAGCCTCTCTTCTGGGCCAAGTGTGGCAGCTTTGCTCAGGGTGCCCTGGGGACCCCTTGCATCAAAATCACCTGGGACACTGTGGGAACTCAGAGTCCCTGGCCTCACTCCATACCTTCTGCACCAGGCTCTCTAAAAAGGAAGTTAGAACCTGCCTTTTCAATGGGCACCTGGGTGATGGTTATCCACTCTAGTCTCACATTGGAGATCAGCCTTTTCCATGGAAAGGAAATCTCATCCTTCCTGCCCTTTGTCTTCCTCTCCCAGAGGGCCCTACCTCACGTGTCTACTCCCTGCCATGCTCCTGGGTGATTTCACATTTCACGTAGAGAAATGTTCACCATTCTGAAACTCTTCAAGATAAAATTTAAGTGTTTGACAAGGGCCAGGAGCCCCTGAGGAAGAAGACAGAGGGAAAGCAGTCCCATTATAGGAGACCCCATGAACCATGGTGATACAGTAGCCAGGGAGAAGAGAGTCCAAGGTGGGAATAATCAAGTGTGTGCTTGTTGATGATGATGAGAGTAAATTCATTGGAGGACAGACTGCAGTGGGGCAAGGCATGGACACTGAGGAGGCAGTGAGCAGGGTGCAGAAGATTCTTTAAGGAAGTTGACAGTGAGGGGATGCTGGGTGAGAAGAGGAGACATGGGTAAGAGGTTACGAGATGGCAGAGACCTAATGTTGTGGTCAGGTCAGGGAAGCGTCCAGATGAACTGGAGAGAGGGAAGATAGATTTGGTCAGCCACCTTATCAGACATTTATCTCTGTCAGCTCTAGAGAGAGGGTCCCACTGCCATTTCATAGATAAGATGGGTGAAAGAAGAATTATGATTTTCTCCAAAGTCACATAGTAAGGCCTATAGCAAATTATTTTTCTCTCTGATTTGTTATGAGGATGAAATTTGTTCATGGAAGTGCAATGTTCACTGCACTGGGCCATTCTTTGTGAAGGTTCTTTCTAGTTACCCTTAGGCCTGAACTGCAGAAACAGACAAGCCCCATGCGCCCAGTTTGGGCAGGGAATGACTTGCTGACACTGCTGTGAGGTTAGCCTTCAAAGTCCATCTCCATTTAGTTCACACTTGTCAACAGTTAGAAAACATAATTTAGAAGTTTGAGTGTAACTACTGACCCCACAAGATTAGAGAGCTCATACGCATTGCACCTATTGCCACTGACATGAGGTCACTGACAGCAGGACCCACCCTTCAACAGACGTTGCAAGGAGGACACTATAGTGAACAGTGAGTGTGTACATGTGTGGGGAACCGCCAATCTCCATGTAGACATATCAGGCGGGCCTCTACCTGGGATTCCACATTTGGGCACAGATACCAAGGACCCTGAGCTGGTTGTTGCATGTACCCACAAATAAAGAAGGAGGAAGGAAGGAGGAACGAAGGAAGGAATGAAGGAGGACGAGACGAGCATGACGAGGCTACGAAAGTATAATTTGGAAGTAAAACTCAGTTTTCTGAGTTGCTTGGAAACGTCACTATGGGTTCTGAGATTGTGTCTTCCTTACCCAGTAGGCTTCAGGTTCCCTCTTAGTAAACACCCAGACAAAACGGTTCCTGTAATTCTTGCTAGAAAAAGAATGGCAAGTGGTCTTCTCCCTTTCTCACCTGCCAAATTTGCTTTAGAGATACTTACAAGGGTTCAGCACTCTACTGCTGCCACCCTCTTGCAAACCTCTTCCTGCTTCATCCCAGTCCATCCCTCCAACTTTCTGATCTTTCCTGACCTTTCCCATCCCACAGAGACTATGGCCAGGCCCCAGGGCCATGGAAGCAAAGGCAGGGGTAACCTGCCCTGCTCATCAGATAGGTACTAGGGGAGGACCCTCCCCTACCCCAGCAAACACACACTCATTGTTAGAAAGCGGAAAGATTCTCTGCTGCCTAGAAGAGAAATTAAAATGCCACCCAAAATTTAGTCTCTGAAGACTCTCAATTTGTCTACATTCTGCCCCCTTCTCCCTGACCCCTCTTTTCCATCCACCCCTGCCCTTTGTCCAGGGAACCACAGCCCAGTGGCTTGGGCGAGGACAGCAAAGGCAATCATGTGGGGTTTCAGTAGTAAAAAGGGGCCTCATGAAGGGATCACATCCCACTTTCCTGTCTCTACAGTCTCCTGTCCACTTAAGGACTGTGCTTGCTGTTGGGAAGAGAAACAGAAGTGGTCACTCACAACAGCTTAGTCTTCACTCCCCAACACACACACTCCTACCCCAGTACTCAGAGGAGACAGGCTCGCCCTGAGGCCAGGGGCCTGTGTGGGTCACAGCAGTGAGATGAGGAGGTGGTGGAGGAGCCTGGCTGGGGAAGGTTTCCCTGAGGGTCTGTTGGGGCTGAGCCCCAGCAGCATGTTTATGGGTCAAAGAGGGTCAAGGGCTCAGCAGGGCCTGAGATTCAAGCAGAGAACCTGCCCAACTCACCTGCTGGAAAGGTTTCTTGCTTGTCTTCATCTGCGATGTGGTGAATGACTGGGTGGGAAGAAGCCAGGTCAGCAGAGTCGAGGGTATGCCTGCTGGAACCTCTCACCTCCCCCACCTGCAGCCCCCACACTTCTCCCTCTAGGCCAGGTGTGGCACCTTTTCTCAGGATACTCTGGGGACCCCTTGCATCAGAATCACCTGGGCCGCTTGTGGAAACTCAGAGTCCCTGGCCTCATTCCATACCTTCTGCACCAGCCTCTCCAAAAAGGAAGCTAGAACCTGCAGTTTCCATAGGCACCTGGGTTATGGTTACCCACTCTAGTCTCCTATTGGAGGACTGCCTTGTCCACGGAAAGGAAATCGCCTCCCATTGTCCTTTGTCTTCCTCCCACAGAGGCTCCTCCTTCACGCATCTAGGCCCTTCCTGCCCTCCTCCTGGGTGGTTTCACATTTCACATAGAGAAATGTTCATAGTTCTGAAACTCCTAATGATCAGATTTAAGTGTTTGACAAGGGCCAGGAGCCCATGAAGGAAGGAGGCAGAGGGAAAGCAGTCCCATTACAGGAGACCCCAAGACCATGGTGACGCAGTAGCCAGGGAGAAGAGAGTCCAAGGTGGGAATAACGAATGTGTGGTAGTTGATGATGATGTGATTAAATCCCTCGAGGACACACTGCAGTGGGGCGAGGCATGGACACCGAGGAGGCAGTGAGCAGGGTGCAGAAGATTCCTTAAGGAAGTTGGCAGTGAGGGGACGCTCGGTGGGAAGAGGGGACGTGGGTGAGGGGTTATGAGATGGCAGAGACCAGACGTAGTGGTCAGGTCAGCGGAAGGGTCCAGGTGAACGGGAGGGAGGGAAGATAGATTTGGCTCAGCCACCTCATCAGACATTTATCTCCATCAGCTCTAGAGAGAGGGTTTCACTTCCATTTCATAGATAAGATGGGGGACAGAGGAATTCGGATTATGAATTATGCAAGCGTTATTGAACTGTTCTTTATAGAAGTTTACTCTATGAAGTGTTAGGAGGAGGGAATTAGTTCATGGAAGTGCAATGTTTACTGCACTGGCCCATTCTTTGTAAAGGGTCCTTCTAGCCACCCTTAAGCCAGAACTGTAGAAACAGACAAGTGCCAAGCTCTCCCTAGTGGGCAGGACATGATCACAGAGGTAAGCCTTCAGAGTCCATCTCCATTTAGTTCACACCTGTCAACACTTATAAAACATAATATTAAAGATTGAGTTGAGCTACTGACCCCACAAGATTGGAGAGCGCATACTCATTCCATCTATTGCCACTGACAGGAGGTCACTGACAGCAGGACCTGCCCTTCACCAGATGCTGCAGGGAGGACTCTGTGGATAGCTGTGTGTGCGTGTGTGTGTGTGTGTGTGTGTGTGTGTGTGTGTGTGTGTGTGTGTGAGAGAGAGAGAGAGAGAGAGAGAGAGAGAGAGAGAGAGAGAGAGAGAGATGGAAAGTGTTTTGTATGGTGAGTGAAGCCCCTGATCTCTGAGGAGCTGGACCCCTCCTCAGGCTGACCTCTCCCTGGGACTCCACATTTGGGCAGGGAGAGGCCAAGGACCCTGAGCTGGTTGTGTTTACAACATCCACTATTCGACCCTGTTTGTAGTTGTATTTAATGCAATGGTTCTCCCATGTGAAGTCAGAACCAGTGTGTTGGGGAAAGCTGCATCCTGTGGCAGGTGAGGGAGGGAGAGATGCAGACACAATCCTGCATGTATGGTTAGAGCACTGCCTCTGCAGTTTTGCTCGTGGTTGTGCCGATATGTTACGACCTTTACCGTGGGGGTATGGGTAACCTGGGAGGTCTCGTGGCTCCCCCAGGTGAGCTGCTGAGAGTGGGGGGACCTGGAATAGAGATGGATGGTTGTAGGATCATGCCTCGCCCAGCGCTAGGCACACCTCCACATTGGGGACCCCTTGCATCAGAATCAGCCTTCAGCCCTAACCGGTTTGGCTCAGTGGATAGAGCGTCGGCCTGCAGACTCAAGGGTCCCAGGTTTGATTCCGGTCAAGGGCATGTACCTTGGTTGCGGACACATCCCCAATAAGGGGTGTTCAGGAGGCAGCTGGTCGATGTTTCTCTCTCATGGATGTTTGTAACTCTCTATCCTTTACCCTTTCTCTCTGTAAAAAATCAATAAAATATATTTTTAAAAAAAAGAATCAGCCTTCAAAGTCCATCTCCATTTAGTTCACACTTGTCAGCAGTTATCATGGAGGATACTGTCCCTGCCTCCCAGAGCAACAATTCAGTGGGATCTTGCTTGGAGTTGGCTGTGGTTAGTGGTGATGTGTGTGCCCTGGACAGCTGGGAAATGCTGCTTCTCTCTGAACAGGTAGAGAAGCCAAGGTTGCCTGATGATGGTCTCCCCTTCTCATTTCTCTTCCCAGGAGAAGCAGGACCCCATGCCCCACTGCCTCCTTCAGCCTCTGCTTACCCCAGCCTCTCCTGTAGAAAATCAGCTGCTTCCTCTTATAGGCCACCACCGAGCCCTTCGGCACAGTCAGCTTCTTCTCTCTCACTTTGAGACCCTCTGCCTGTCCTTTACCCTGGGAACAAAAGCCAGGTGACACCGTCATACATGCATGTCGTTTTAAAGTCAAATACATCTAGAAAGCTCATGAGAAAAGGGATCAGCAGCCCCCTGCCCTCACCCTCTCTACTCCTGGTTTCAAGTTCCTGCTCGTTTTTTCCTTGTTTCATCCCATATTTATCCTCACATCCCTCAATTTCATGTTGATACTGCAATGATTCGATTATTCAGATTCAAGTACATCTAGTCACTTCCTCTTGTTGATGATGAGGGTATCATTTTCCTACTCTTTATAGGAGCCGAAGCAATTGATAAAAGGAAAATACCCAACTCCAGCCTCTTCTCGTCTTCCATGCAGGGCAAGGGCATCATCCAAATCTAGTTCCCTCTACCCTCCTGCCACATCCAAGAGGGGAGAGAGCACTGAGAAGCTCTTGTGAGTTCACAGCCCAGGGCACAGGCTCACTAAAAAAAAGGAAAATACCGGGACCCATTCATAGGACTATAGAGTCTTCCCTTGTCATACACCTACCGCCATATCACTAAAGACCAGTTTACCAGAGTTCCTTTATCACATGTATCATATCCAGCTTTCAACAAAAACAAAAAATTACAAGGCATATTCAAAGGCAAACAACAGTTTGAAGAAACATAACAAGCTGAGAATCAGACTCAATTATAACATGGATGTTGGAATTCTTAGACTGGGAATTTTAAACCACTGTGATTAATTTGCTAAGAGATCTTCACTCATATGTGGAATCTAAGTAACAAAATAACAAAATAAACTGATGAATGGAGTAGATGGAAGCATGGAACAGAGTGAGAAATCTCAGAGGGAATGTGGGGGAGGGTGGGTGGGTGGGAGGTAATCTACCAAAGACCTTGTATGCATAGATGCATAAACCATGGACACAGACAATGGGGTGCTGAAGGCCTGGGGTAGTGAGCAGGGGGAGGGAGGGCAGGGGCAGGCTGGAGGGATTCAATAAGGGTGGGGGGGAGGGACATATGTAATACTTTCAACAATAAATAATTATTTAAAAACTAGAGGCCGGTGCACAAAAATTTGTATACTCGGCGGGGG